GGTATTTCCTTTTTTTTTTTTTTTTTTTTTTTTTGGTCACATGCTATTATTTTGAGGCTTCTCCTTAACATTGCATGAAGGAAAGAATAATTAATTCAACCATCAAGAAAATTATAAATATTCACTCCATAGAGATAGCAGAGGCACTGACTTCATGCACAGCTTTATTCTATTGCAAATATAAACTGTTCACATTCTCTCTAGGTTTCTTGGTTATTTCTCATACATGAAATTTTTACTAATTAAGAAAGGAAGAATCCCAGATGTAACGTACATTCCACACGAGTTAAGTCTGGGAATGCGACAGTTCGTTTCTCAGCTGTGAAACTGGTGTAGTAGTATTTTAATGAATGGTTTTAAACAGTAACAGTGATGTCCTTGGAAAATTCAGAAATAGCACAGCAAATAATACTATGCTAAGGTATTGGAATGTAAAAACTAAGCCACTTAAAGACCCTTAGCTCTGCCCAGAATTAGCAACATTAAAATGCCTAAGTGTGTCCTTTCTGTTGATATAATATGAAATTGCAAACTAAATGTGTGTAGCTCAATGAAATACTGTCTTTTTATTACATAAGGTCAAGGACAATTATAAATACAGTTCTTAAGTTATTAAAAAATGTATTCCCATCAAATTAAAATATATCTTCATAGCTTTTTGCAATATTTGGTTTGAGAATAATGAAATACTCCCATAACTTATTTAACTTTCTGTTAATGGCATTACAGTACAGAAAAGTTTGTCATGTTTGTCTATATTAAAATACTCATGTTACCTGAATTATCTCTCTAACCTAATCTGTGAAAACTTAATTTCCCAACTTCTGAAAGTTCCAATTGGTGGATCTTAGTTTGCCCAAATTCATATTATTTTAGGTGAAACTCTATACATAGTATTCTCTATGAATATAAGATTAAGTTGCTCCCAGTCAGCCATGTTCCTATCTAGCAGCTCTGTGGAAACAACTTATCCAAATTTAGTGTGTTGAGCAAATTCACACCGATCTCACAGTATCTCCAAAGAAGAGATGAATTTTAAGAGTGCTTCTTCCTTTGGGAAGGTGAAAAAAGTAAAACATTTCATGTTTCAACTTTGTTGTGGCATTAATGCATGGACTGTAACTCAAGCTCTTGTAGCTACTCAAGCTACTGCAATTCCCTCCTCAAGGGACTTACAGACTGATATAGACAAATAATAAAAACAGGCCATTTGTAATTAATTCTGATCTTCCAGATTATTTGAAAAATCTTCAGAACTGTGGATTACAGTTACAGTTCTGCTATAGCAAAGCCAAGTCAGTGTGCATCAGTCGAAGGGGTTAGAAAAAAGTTAATATACTCAACACAGTTAAATACAAATGACACGATACAACACGCTTTTACTCTGACAAGCTAATGCACTTTTTGATGTATGAAGAATAAACTGAAAAGTAAATAACAGCGCATCTGGCTTTAATTGTTATACAGACCTAGAGGCATGGAAATGGTTGCTGGATATGTTTTACTTCTGCATGCACAGACACACACAGATATACAGTCATACATACAGCCACTCACATGCACAATACTGCTGCACAGTGCTGATCCATATGGTATATGGTAAGCAGCTACGCTTAGTGCATATGTATATAGCATATTTCTGTCTTTCAGGTCAAGAATAATGTCACACATAAATATAGTTAGGATTTTGAAATTGCTGTCAGGTACAATAAAGTTCGACAGGTTTTCCATCATTTCTTAAAAAAATTTTGATCTGTTCCTTGGTATTTCAAATCATAGTTTCAGTTTACTAATTTCCAGAAATAACCACGTTATTCAGAATTATCCAGGTGAATTAATCAATTGAATACATGAATTCACATGGCACTTCTCTAACCAATAACTTGAAGAAGTCATTGGCCAAAACTATACCAAAAATCAATACAGCCTTTTAAAACTTTAATTTAACTTCACACCTCTGTCACACATAGTAAATGAGCCAAGATTTAAAGTCCCATTAAATCTCCGCTTTCATGGTATATGACTTGGGCAAAACAAATGCAATCAAGCTGGAAATCACTGGAGTACACCTGCAAGGATATTCAGAGTCTAACTTGTGGTCATCCAGCTGGCATGAAAGTTGAACTTCTTGAGATCTCTTTTATCATGTATTCCAAGCTCTTCCACACTGGTTTGGGCACAATCCAAGACAGAACAGAGAAGTTAACCAGCAGAAGTGACAGGAACCAGGGAAGGGTAGGATTGCTGCTGTCACATAGGCAGTTTCAGAGCCTTTTGCCCTATGATTCTTCAAAGACATGGGAGATGTCTTTGAGATGGGTGGTTGAGAGGAAAATGGTGTGGGCTCCATCTCAAACCTAGGAATTCAGCAGGGCTTCATTATCTATGGTTCAGACAAGGGGATATGCAACATATACTTTCAATAGGAATAAAATAGCTTGATGAGGAATTTTAAAATCAGCCTTGGTGAAATAGGAGCAGTTCCAGGGACACAAAATGATCTGTTATTCTAATTGTTCTCCTTATTATTCTGTAAACACTCTATCAAATGTTCTCTTTGGTTATCAAGCATATGTTTTGAATGCATTATATGAAACAATTAGAAGCACCTGCTTCCTTTTCTATTCATAGAAAAATGTCAATATTAATCTTATTATCACAGTCCTGACAGAGTTCTCCTTTGGCTAGATAATCCCCAGGCAGCTGTGTTGGATCCCAGGCTGCTCAGCCTCTTCCTGTTAAGTTCCCCTTTGCTTATGCAGTTTGTAAAAATAACACTTCCTTTAGCCTTCTTTGCCCGTTTTCCTTGCATACTTTCTAGTCCATCATTGTATTACACAGAAACACTGGTAGTCTACTCCCTAGCTCTTCTGAACTTCCAGTAGACTTCTTTTCAACAAAAACACAGAATGGTGGAGGTTGAACGGGACTTACAGAGATCATCCAGTCCAATCGTCCACTTAAGCAGGGTCACTAATAGCAGGCTGCCAGGACCATGTCTAAATGGCTTCTGGAGNAAAAAAACCCTTGACCTTAAAGACCACCTTAACTTGGGATCTTAATATAAAGCTTTAAATAAATCAAGGAATATACCTCCTATATGTGAGTAAAGCATTTTCTTCTCAATAGAGAAGCGAAGAATGGTAATAGCAGTCAAATGGCAAATCTGGATTTGCCCTCTGGACTTCAAGCTCTTTGCCTTTATCATGAATTATCTATCAATGATTTCCTTAGAGGCTTGGAAAAAAAAAAAAAAAAGAAAAACAAAACAAATGACTTTTTACTACTATAAATATTATTTAAAATAAAATATTTTTTGACAACTTAACAGCACAGAATATTCATAAAGCGCTTCCTTAATGAGGTCACAAACACCACAATATGTTCACAAAAACTTTTATTTAAATGAAGTTTTAATTTCAGAGTTGCTGTGTGGAGCTGAACAGTAGTCTTACAATAACACTATTATAAATTCCAAGATTATATAAAACAAGGATTATTAACCACACTGGAAGCTAAAGAGTATCTTTTAAAAAGTGTTTATTTTATATTTGATTTGCTTTTCCCTTTAAAAATTTATATTTAACTTCAACAATCATTTTGGCAAATCCTTGAGCAAAAGCTACTTGGCTTTGAACACGTCTCAAAGAAACAATTTACAATCATGGAAAAAAATACTTTTTTGAATGATGAAACAAGTTATTATATTAAAATAGGACAACAACATTTGTCCTAGTTTTGGTACAACAGGACATGACTTAAAAATCATCTTTAAAATCATCTTTTCTACATATGACATTATGACAGACTGACAAAGTTTTGACACAATGAGGACACAGTATAATCCTATTACACTATTCCATAGTATGATCCCTTCCAACTTCCCATTTCTACATATTATTTCTGTATCCCTGATATTTTTTCCTTCTTTCTCTGGATGGAGACATAAAACTCACCATGGCAAACATCATGCCTTGTGCAAGCTAAGCTGGGTACACACAAATAGGTGCAGGGACATGTGTGTGTGTTTGTTCTTTTTTTCCCAACACAGTTCTATTATTCCGCTCCCTATCCCAATGACTTGTACATCACAAAATCCCAGAACTGCTTAAGAAAGACCATGTTACTATTTAGTACAAACTTGGTGCTTGTAGGTCAATGATACTAAAGGAAAATATTTGCATGTACCTTTAATTCATATTATACTTTACATAGAAGCCAAAGTCAGGAATTTGTTTTAAAAGGAAAAAATGTTTCCCCAGCACAAAGACAGTGAATAAACTCTATGCATTTCCTGTCACATCAATACGTTGGAATTCTTCCGCTTCCTTGGATCAATCCAAACCCATAATAAAACCCAGTGATTTGGTGACAGGGCTTGTTACTCAAAAGGTCTAGAACGCATGCAGCAAGCATCCACAATGCAGGACTCATCTACTGCTGGCAAGCACTTACTACGATGAATTGTGCCACTATTGAGGGGCAAAACTCATCTCAAAGGAAGAAAATATTGCACAGCCTGCTCTGACTATTTTCATGACTATTAGTCTGGAGCTTCTGCTTTAAGAAACTAGTGGAGAATGAAATCACTGTGTAAAAGAATTTATTCTCAATTTACTTTGCCACAATGCAAGAATAAAAAAAAATAATTAAAAAGAAAGGACTGAATGAAAATTGATAGCAGGAAATTAGGGCATTATGGTAGCAAAAACCCTATAAATAATTTACTGCTATCCACATCTGACCCCAAATCACCTGTTCTCACTCAGATACACACACACACACACACACACACACACAAAGGAACAGAACAGAATAAAAGAAACAACTTAGCACTAGCTGTTATATCAGCTGGTATGACATGCTCAGAAAGCAACAGTGAAAAGGGCATCCAAATGCAGCAGAAACAATCTGGTAAAATCCACCAGTTTGCAGCAACATTAGCATAAATGTTTACCAGGTAATTTCTGACCCTATTTGTTGCAGAGAGAATAAAAATTGCCAGTGACACTGGGCAATGAAAATTCCAGCCATGCAGCAAAACGCCGTGGCAGGAGAGATGTCCAATATAACATACGTAAAATGCTGCAAGCAGAGTTACCTGTGAACCTGAGCAGAAGAGCACTCAGTATGTGCAACCACTGATCTTGTGATCACACAACTGCCCCAGGATGAGTTCATCTTGATCGTCAGTGTGACTACCAAAAGCAGACAGATCAGTGTCCATCTGCATGATGCAGACCGCCACTGGAAAAAAAGGTACTTAAGTCAATATTTACACACAAAGCAGAAAGAGAGTACTATATATATTGCTAGGGTTATCTGCAGGCAGAACTCTGAAATCACTTCTAGGTGTGGACTGCAAAAAAAGAGACCATATGTCACATTTTCTCATAACTCATGTTAACGGTTTAGTTGAAATGAGGGAGAAACATCATTTTAAGTTGATATTTGGAATTTGGAAGTTGAATGTCTGGAATACACGAATTGGCATTTTATAAAATAAACACTATGTATGAGGTCAGTAGAATTATTCTAGATTTGGACAAAGCAAAAGAGATCAAAATGCACCAGTATTTGTGTTCTTGGGACTGGAAGAAAGGAGAGAAGATGGTGGAAGGTGATGACCTTACAATTCTTATAACTATCAAATGATTCAGAGATGTGGCCAAATATCAAACCAAAATATCATTTATGTAGTGGCCATGACAGGACTGGCAGAGTCTGTCCCTTAACTCTCAACTTCAGTGGAAACTCATCTGCCTGGGCTGTGTCAGGGAGAGGAATCTGAATGTCAGAGGAGCTCATTGGAGACCATGTCAGTAAGTCAACGCTTACTTTCAATCTGTTTAATGCTTTTGACAGACCATTATGATGTTATCATTCAACTCCTTGCAGAAGTTTGGCATGGTCATGCCAATGTTATGTACCTATGTTATGTAAGTGTGATTAGCACATAGTTGCAGTATCTCATGGCTATTGAGGTAGCACTGATGCTGAAAAAAAAAAGACAAGTATTTAAATGATGACTGTGACTTCCACTTTGGTCTTGTATCAAAATAAAATTTTAAAAGTGAATGTAAAAAATAACTATATAAACAGTCTCTAGAAATTGTGTAGTTGAAACCCACATTTTAATAGCAGTTTACCAGACGTAGAAAACACTAATTGAAATTCAGCACTTTCATTTTACTAATTAGCAGTTAGTGTCCCATCATTTAAAGCTCTGATGTGATAAAAGGGAAACTGAGAGCTCATCTCCCTTCCTGCCTTTAAGACTTCTCTAGGAGCTTGCAAATAGAAGGGAATACCCGCTGTTGTTTCCTGTGTTTGTAGGTTGTGATCATGACAAGCTTGTAAATGGTTCAGGGTGACTGTAATTTATTCCAATATAATAAGTCAACCAGCATAAGGTATTTAAACAAAGACCAAGTTATCTTCCAATTTCTAAGAGGCATTTTGGGTGCCTAAAAGCAGTAGAAATTCTAAAGAGATTTTAGCAGAATATGCATTTCACTACAATCATGATTTTTTGTGGAAAAATAAATTGGCATACTTCGTATTTTTGCATATTGATTTACACATTGTTGTTGTATGCCAGAATTATATAAAGATCATGGAAAAAAAGCTAATACTTCAAGCATAATAACATTCATTTCTGTATTATGTTTTATGCTTACATTAAAATTCATCAATAATAATGTAGAGACATTAACACTATCTCTACAATTATAAACAATAAAAAATCCTGAGTCAGGCACTAAAAACAATTCAGAACACTTTTTTTTTTGAGACTTGTTTATATTTTCCTTCTCATTTGGTACACATTTTCAAAAGCTTCTTTTGCAGTCATCAGGGGAGGTATGCAAATATTTCAAAATAAAAATTGAGATGCTCTCATATTCTGATGCCTCGAGGAACAAATGCTTAATAAATACATCAAGCATCCTGACCCTCATTATGACAATGTTAGTCACAGGTCATAAAAATCTCTGCAATAAGTGTTCATATGATGCTAATATCTTGCTTAGATTAATAAATATGAGGTGATCTGGCATTTTTTTGTCTTCAGTGCATGCCTGGGTGTTGAAAGCCATATTGTATATGGAGACTAGTAATAGCTTAATTCTGCAGGTTTACAAACAAATAAACAAACAAATAAACAAATACCCCAAACACAAACCAAACCTCTTTGTCGTTTCAAGAAAAATCTTCAGCCAAAGCTATAACATCAGTGGTAGCAAATGGAGGTGAACTGGCGTTTCCATCAGCAAGTGTTTGCTGCATTTCCCAGGCAGGGCTTGCTGCATTTCTCACCGCAGAGCACTGAAAAGACCCAAAATCACAGCAGAAGCTTTACTGAAGTATGGATTTCATTGCACCTTCCCGGGCTCATTAGTTCAGCTAACAGCTTCTGCTTGTTAAGAGGCTCTGTGGGTAACAGCAGCAACAGCACTCAACGATGCTAAAATAGAGGTTCCTACAGAGACTGTAGTTGAGGCTGTATCTTGGGCTTGAGATGACACTGTAAGCCCTGGTTAGGGATTTTTTTCGTTTGTTTTCACTCTATTCTCTTTTTTATTATTATTATTTTATTCTCACATTCAAGCCAGCTTCACACCTCACAAATATCTCTTTTGTACCTCAGAAAAGAAATTCCAGAAGTATCACTCATATGTTGCTTGCACTTGCTTATATTCCTTTAACCCCTATTCAAATAGGGTCATATAGCTGTGAGGGTAAAAGATGCCCTTTGGGTTAGCTTCCCTCAGCGGAAGATTTTCCATTTGCTTCTAAATTTAGTCATATTCAGTAATAATAGAAACTGAAATCTAGCCTCCTGCAGCATGGTGGCTTAAATATTTGAAATGCTTTTTGCTGGAGGGTGCTGTTAGTTCTTCTGTGCATTTTTTTCTCCCTATTCAATATATATTCCTTGCTATACTGCATAATGAATTTGAAACATACTTTTATGAAGATTTGTACGCAGTCTACTTTCAAAACCTACAGGTTCAACAATGAAAGCAGCAATGTACCTATAGCTGAACACACATCATTGCCCCTGCTCTTCTGCTGAACCACGGTATCTGCTTGATTTAACAAGAGACACTTTACAAGGACCTCATACTGAGTGAGCATTAGCTGTGTGGGGAACATCTGAGGTGTAGCAGGACCACCTACACAAACTTTATATCAGAAGTTACCTTTATAGAGTTAAGAGTCCCAGCACAAAATCACCAAATCTTCTGTGTGAGGTAAAATGAATAGCAGTGAATTACAAACATATGTGGGTTTCTGCACACCTTTTACATGCAGATGGGACACTTACACGGATGTATAGATACAGATATATTACTCTGTTCAGTGTTTCTACAGCTGGACACCTGAGGCTGCCTCCTTCATGGTACAAGGAGAGAAAATAGTATCTCCAGACCTCAATAATCTCCAGATGTTCAAACCTGGGGAATTTGTTTCTGTTAGTCCTTCTCTGTGCATCTGTGCCACATAGGAGAGCATGAAGTTTTCACTTTCCCTTCTCTCTTAATAGAAGTTTATTTAGCAGCTGCAAAGAGGAAAGAATATCTCCCATAAAATAAAGGTATTTGTGCACATATCCTCCATGTTTATGGCAGGAGCTGGAAAGAAGAGATTTTGGACACTCGTGCTCTCTTCTTAAAAACAAAATCAAAAACATCATATAAAAAGAAAATAATAGTGGACAAACTCCAATTTCATTTACAATATGGTAATTTCTTAACAACTTCCTCCAAATAACCTAGCTAGGATAAACATTACTGCTACAGCCTGAGCTGCATAAACAAAATTTGTCACTTTGCTGCCCTTCACTGTCTGGCTATTGCTTTTTTTCATGCCTGAGAGAAAACAGTTGATCCAATAGTCAGACTGCCAGGGCAAGTCATTCAAGAAAATGGTTCAGTTGCTCTCATTGCAAATGGGATTTTCAGCAGAGCATTTAGACCAAGTGATGTTAGGAACTCAGACATTTCTGAACATCTCACTACACATCACTGCATCATTAGGACCTTAACTATGAACAAAAATACCTATGTGCTATAGTTTCCAGTTTATGATGTGGACATAGAGACACTTCTTATACATATATTTTGGAATTTAATATCTTAAAGATATGAGCTGTGATGTAAGTTCCTATTCTAGCTTCACTGAGGAAGACAAGTTGACATCATCATTTAATTTGACATCTATGCGTAAATCTCATAGAGTATGTAACAAAAACTATTGCACTGATGACTCAAAAGCCTACACATCCTTAAGTAGTAGAAAGCAATCTTTGCAATTTTTGTGTACTTCTCATCTTCGTAACATCTGAAAATATTAGACATATCCAAAACCAGAACCTTATTTTCTTTTTTTTTTTCTTTCCTCTATAGTTTCTTAGTACACCAAGAAAAAGATCTTTCTTGATTTGAATGTCTTGGCTTGTTTTGCTTAGTAGATGTGTTATGTGGGAAAAAAAAAAATGACTTTACTCAACATCAGAGACCTTCATATGCTGTTTTCTGAATGAAAAGGTACATGGCCAGTCTCACTCCCAGTGGAATGAATTTCATGATAATGGTCTACCCTTCTATTTGTCCCTCAGCTTCATGAGTTTTTCCTCATGGCTGGTAGTCTCAATGTTGAAGTTATAAATTTCTGCCAGGAGAAAACTCCATGGAGATTTTAAACATCCCAGTAAATACCTTGAGTCACTCTGTGCTTTAAGTATGGAGGGAGGGTAGATAACAGAGCAATATGATTTTGGTTGTTGTTTTGTTGGGTTTTCTTTTTGAGACCAGATGGATTTCTATCCTGAAAACTATTCAGAGTACTTTAAGAATGTGAAACTTCATTCCTAGGTTAAAAAATTCATTTAATTAGTTCTCTAGGTCAGAAAAGCACGTGTCAGTCTACCATCATGGATAGGAGCCAGCTTTTCTGTTATTTATTTGTTATTTATTTTTTATTGTTTTACTGCTTGTATAGTTTTGGTTTCTTTCATGATTAGTTGTTCTGGTTTTATTTTTCTACAGGTACTAAGGCAATACAGTAGCACATTGATATACAAAAAGAATCCAGCATCAAAGAATATTTAAACACTACACGATCCGACTTTTTTTTTTTGAGTTAAAAATAGTTTTTAAGAATGGAGACAATGAACTATTGCAATAAGACATGAAAGGAAGCATTGATTTTCGTATGTTGATGTGCCCAGATGAAAACTAGGTATTTTTCTTCACTAGGTACCTATCTTCACTTTTAGTCCAACACAATTCAGTGAGTTAAATAAACAAGTTAAAGGTCTAGGCTATCTTCTCCTTGAATGCTAATTTTTATTCTTCTTGTGTGAGGTAATATGCGAGAAAATAAAAATAACACACTTCAGTAAAGTCAGCACAACGTATATTTTGCAGAAAGTAACGAGAAGGATGAAACTGGTGCTTTCCTCTGTGAAAACACATCACTCAGGCACTGGGATCTCCTGCCCTTTCTGGCCTGTGCAAATGTGAGTGCACGTATGAGATTCACAAAGGCTTTGAGGCAGAAGAGGACACGGAGCTAAGAGCTAAACAGATTGCTCTGACACTTTTAGTGGCACGGAGGACATGGACAGAATTATGAAGCTGATGCTACTTTGATACGAAGTCTATCTTTTTAATCTGAGTACAGATACGAAATCTAGAGTGATTTCTACTGACAGGAACTATCCAAATGGAACTTCATGGGAGATGAAAAATAACAAGCACCCCTAACATATCAAAATAGTTATCGTTAAAAGCATGTGTACACCCAGTCTTTTTAGCAAGAAGCTAACAAGTATAAATTAATTCTAATCATAGCACTTATGTAAGACAGAAGTCTTTAAAAGGAATCTCCATAGGTGTTGCTACTGTACTAATAAATAAGTCAGCACACACAGTACAATGGGAAGCAATTAAAAGTTTAGGTAGTGGCACATTTTCTTTTAACGAGAAACTACCTGCCCTTTAGATCTTCATCTTTGTTCTACCTCTACCTTTGTTAACTTAGTTTCATTTAAGGAGGTGTAAGTGAACATACACACCTAGAAATGTATGTCTTAAAGAAACATATGAAAGAGTTATGAAGAGTTATGAAAAATGCACTAAGAAAGTACAGAAATTTGTGTGGGGGTAGGTAAAAATCAACTTGGAGGACTTTTAACCAACTTGGAGGGCTTTAAAGAAAATAGAAGAGAATCTGAAGTAGAATAGCAACTTTATGAAATTGTTTATTTTTTCAAAATAAGTGTGAAGAACATCTTAGTGGAAGGCAGGACAGCAAGACCAAGCACTTACAGTGAAAAGGGAGTTTGTTCTATTCAAGTGACTCAGTACGTGAAACCAATCTTTAAGACCTTTGAGCTGGTACTTTGGAGAGCTCTCAGTTGCAAGCATTTGTCCACGGCACATTGAGAGCAGCTCCCTCGCAAAGGAGGGACAGTGTCACAACAGAAATACGGATACAAAAAGTTGTAAGAAATAACCCATCTGGTGTAAAGCAATTCTTGTGTTCTTTTAACTTATTCTGGGGATCAAATGAGCACACTGCTACTTAGGGCTAAATTTTAAATGGTATTTAGGTGCTATAAGATTCAAATAGTGCTTAAGGAGACTATTACATACGCCTAAGCATCTGAAGTCCATTAGTGACTTGCTTTCCACCTGTAAACCTACACACTTTTGTATATTTACTGAACAAAGCCATGCAATATGGTATAGTGAGTGTATGTTTATATTATCACAAGTGTCCATACTCTTCTGAAAATACCCTGTTCACTTCTCAGTTGAAAATCTTAGCCCCTTTTCCTTCATACAAGTAAAATGGTGAGTAATAAGACTAAACAATGTCCATTATGTCCAGCTGAACAGTTGAAAAGTTAACAAGCTAAGAAACACCTGTCAATACAAAATTGTGAAATATGTTTGTTTAAACTGACAATTATGATTGCCATTTCTGAAATTAATGTTGGAGGCAACCATCTTGCTTAAATGTGATGTCATGTACGACAGGAACATCGTGACAGACTTGCAGAGAGGAGTATTAACCTGCCACTTTACCACAACTGGCAAATATCAATTTAAGCGACAGAAGGAAAATATTAATATTAAATATTCATAAAGGATGTTTGCTTAAATATTTCTTCTTTTGAGCATCATTCCAGTACTGACATACAATTTAAGACTACCTCATGTGTGTCACCAAAA